ATGCGGTTTCTAGAATTTTACAATCTGCACAGGCTGTTGTTGCACTCATCCTTATTATCTGAGGGTACATTCCTGCCTGTCAGCCACCTCAGCTGTGTGCATTGTTGCTTTGTTGTTTGCTACTATTATTAGTCCTGTGGAAGAGAGCAGGGAACCTCCCTGCATTTGTTTCTACCTCAGTGCTGAGAGTGGGCCAGAAGAAGGCGACCGAGGAGCTGTTTACCCAGCCTTTGTGCTCGGCGGGCCTCAGTGTTTGCCCAGCAGGGAGTGCCTCAGCTTAAAGGCCCTAGCATGTGGTCCGTGTGGGTGGGTGGGTGGATGGAGCCGAGAGGCGGGAGCGCTCGGGACGAACCGTAAAGGCGATCGGTTCGTGTTGCGTACAGAGTGTCCCCCCACCCCACCTGTCACCGGCCCGCTCCCTTTGTCCATCCTTCAGGCTGGACGGCAGGTATAGATTCAGCCCTGCATGAAGAACAGAAATTAAAATAAATAATTCTCCAAAACATTTCTTTCTTGATTCAACTAATATTTTTAATGAATTTTACAGATTCCTGAAATTTAAAGGAAGGAAAATTATATAATGCAAACACTGCAAAAAATCTAAATCTAGATAAGTCATTTTTTTCTTAAAATAAGTGCATTTGTTCTTGAATTGAGGAGGTAAAAGAGACATTCTGCTAATGGAACAATTTACACTTAAAATAAGAAAACACAATTGCATTGTCTTATTTCAAGTGCATATTATCTAATTATCTTATTTTAAGAGTAAAAATACTCATTCAATTGGCAAACTATCTCATTTACCTACTTAAAATAAGAGTGAATACATTTAATTTAGGATATTTTTACTTATTTCTAGATTGTTTTTGCAGTGAAAACTGTCACTGTTTTCCTGCTCTGGCAGATTAATGCAGTTATTTCTGACTAAATTCTTCTTAAAAGATTAATAATCTAACATAATCTGCTCTTGCTTAGTGTAGCAAATTTAAATTAAGATCATAGACTTTTACTGCATCTAAGATAAACAGATGGTTGGATTGTTTGAGCAGCGTGTCATTTAAAGGAAAAGTCCGGTCAGCAGGAATAATTAATGGATCATTATTTATACCTAAAACTAATAGGTTTGCAGTGATTTAATGAATTTAGCGTTAATCAGTAAAAAAATAAAAATTGCAAATTTTGTAGTGATCACCGAGTCTGGGAGCGGCCATTTTTGCCCAAATATAGTAACCCCTCCCTCCTGCCATCTTCCAGCAGTGACGTCACGGTACGGTAAGCCTAGCGCCATTCTCCTAGCCTCGTGAGACCATCCTGATCTCGCGAGCTTTCAAGGTTTCACTCGCAAATCAGTCTGCAGACTCTCCGTTGAAGAAAATTTGGAGCCGTTCACCAAACGAACGTCCAATCAGCGTTGGCTTTGAGGCGGGTTGAGGTGTGACGCAACAAGAAGCGCCACAGTTCAGTCTAAAGAACATGGCGGCTTCAGCCGATGAAACTAGCGTTAGCCTGGCTATCGAGCAAGTTTTATCGGAATTACAGAGTATTTCTTCACTGAAAGAAGAGCAAAACACTGCTCTGGAGGCTTTTCTCAGAGGAAAAGATGTTTTTGCTCTTCTCCCCACTGGTTTCGGCAAGAGTAGCCTGGCTTGTGGTTGTGTTTTCGTCGTCGCTCTGTTAGAACGTCATATGCTTCGTTGATCTGATTGGTTTATTTGGCCCGTCTATCACCAACTTAGGCCAATCAGCTAACCAGTATTTTCTCCCCTTCCCAAAATTACTTCAACGGAAGGTTTCCAGATGGATATGCGGAGCAAATCCATCTGGCGGAGTCAGGTTACCATTCTCCCCGCTTTACAAGTTAAATCAATGGGAACTACTAGACACATCTGCAATCAACAACAATTATTGAAGATTTCCAGAGGACTTCACCATTGAAATTCACCAGAGCTATAGTGAAACTGACAATGCCCACGTGCATGGCAGCTGGATGCTGGAATACATCGGGGAAAGAGTTATTCCACCTTTCTGATTCCTGATCCTCCACGGACGGGTTGGTCGTTGGATCGCCAACTTGAAGAGGGAGGATTTGCCATCGAACTTCTGGCCAGAGAAAAAACCCGTAATATGTAGCCAACATTTGGAAGAAGAATGTTTTCAAGATGACTTGGATAATAGCGCGTTGTGACAAACACCAGATGCAGCACTGGGACTTGATCAACAGCCGATACCGCACCGTGACGTCACTAACCAGTAGGTGGCAGTAGTGTTCTTTGACAAACATGGATGCCTCCAGTAAAGCACATTCACATGAAAATTACTCTGAATTAAAAACACTGATCATTTATTGACCAGGATGGAATCATTTCACATTAAAGGACTTTCAGAAGTTTGAATTCTGAATTTGACCGGGCTTTTCCTTTAAAGGCGACGGCTACGACTTTCCCTCCTCCCTGCCAGTAGGTGGCGCACTCACCTGCTCTGGTTCTGTAAAGTCTGCCAGCTGGTTACCAGGTCGCAAACATTTATCTTAAAAATTCAGAAGAAAAGCCTTGTTATCCATTTTTGATTTAATCGGCACCGACGCTCAGAAGCTGCAGAGTTTTATGCTTCTTTTTTGTTTTCTTCGACTGTTTGACGACTGAATCTAAGAAATCTGAGGTGCCTTGAGATGACGTGTTGGGAATAGGCGCTATATTAATAAACTGAATTGAAACGTAACACGGAGAAGAAGCCATTTCTCAGCGCTATCATGAAGCTACTGGGAACACCTGAGCTGCTGTCTGCTCCTATTAGTGCAGAATAAGGAAGAAATATTTATGTATTTTGGACCCATCAGGATATCTACTTTTTGGGTAAAATAAATATTTTTATCTTGAACAACTCAAGACATTTTGTGGATGTAAAAATTGTTTTTATAAGAAGCTATAAGCTTTCTGAAAATGGTTGAGTTCATATGTGGACTTTGACTAGACCCCCTACCTAACGTACCTAACGCTGAGTTTGAGATTTAATACAGTATAAATATCCTGTATAAAATATTCTGTGTAAAATCTCAAACTCAACGCTATTTCTGACATTTTGAATTGAAAAAGCTTCCTGGATGGGAAGCCAAACGTCTTCGAACTTGGAAACAAAGTCCAGTGGAATGTTTTTAATATTCCTTTTTTGGATTTTCCCTTTATTCATTGCAAGTCAAAGATGATTGGTCAAACTCAGACAGCAATGGTGAAATTGGGGAGTGATGGCCTAATGGTTGGAGCAGTGCTCTGAGAAGGTTGCTAGTACCTGGTGCAATCCCCACATTCTCCAATATGGGTCCCTGAGCAAGACCCTTAACCCCACACTGCTCCCCGGGCGCCGCAGAATGGCAGCCTACTGCTCCCAAAGGGGTCAAATTCTCCATTGTGAGATCAATAAAGTTCAATTTCTGTCTTTTCTATTTCTATTCTGAGGAAAAAATGGATATATAAAGTTTTTGATGACCCAAAATACACTTTCAGATGTTTTATTGCCTTTAGACCCCAAGTTCCTGGGGGCCCCATTGAACTCTTTTTACATGTATAGTTAATATAACTATTCCTTAAAACCAATGAACAGTGTTGCCAACTTAGCGCTTTAGTCGCTATGTTTAGCGACTTTTCAGACGCCTCTAGCACTTTGATTTCAAAAAAAGTTATTTCAAGTTAGCCAAATCACTTCAATTAAACTTAAACTAACGGATAAATGGATGCAACTTGCTATGATCCCGGGTTTATAACAGGTTTAATGTTGGTGTGTGGAGACAGCGTGCACACTGGTGTTGCTCACAGTGGTTCTCAGTGAACTCGGTGAGCTTGTGTGTACGCCCAGACCAGGGGGGGATTTACCATCGGGCAGTAGGCTACTAGGTAGTTGCCTAAGGTCCCAAGCAAACCATTTGAAAACGAACGATGCAAAGAGCAGTGTTGCCAACTTAGCGCTTTAATCGCTATATTTAGTAACTTTTCAGACCCCTCTAGCACTTTGATTTCTAAAAAGCTCCTAGCGCCAAATCTAGAGACTTTTTTCTGCTACTGGAGACTTTGGAGACAACATCTAAAAGCAGCGAACTCTGCTCTCCAGAGCGAGTAGATTGGTAACCCCGCCTCCTGCTCTCCTCTATCTTGTCTGCTGTCATGATTCATGCAGCTATTATTTCATCCAAATGAAAAATGGAGAACAGATAAGCAGATCATGGCTTGTCTACAGTGAAAAGAAGGACTGGGTTATTTACTTTGGCCTTTTTGGAAACACAGGAAGGAGCAATCAGCTAAGTGAGCTTAGTGCTTGGAAAAAATCTTTCATTCCTTTAGAGACAGCATGAAAAGTCAGCTGAGTACAAAACATAGAGAGGAAAACAAGAAGAAAAGGGACAAGAAGAGAGGGACACAACCTAGAACAGATAATGGATGTCTATTCTATTAACATTTCTATATCTGTAGAATCGGTCTCTTTTATGTCTTCTCAATTCAGAGGGGGCCCTGCCTGTCTTTGCCTAGGCCCCCAGATTTCATAAATTCGCCTTTTGACATGGGAGCTGATTGAGCTTCTTTCCTGAAATGATGACCTTATCTGCTTTAACCCTCTACCTGCCTGCTATCTTCCTTGGTTTATTAGATCTTCTCTGTAAGGCAGTTTGCTGCACCAGGTTTTATTCAGGGTGTTATCAGAATAAAAAGGTGCTGAATGTGTTTGACGCGCCGAATCCTCCTTTTAAGGTCTTCAGTCTCTTCCAGGAGTCTAATCAGAGCAGCTGAGAAAACAATCAACCAAGAAATCCCAAATGTTTCAGCAGTCCACCACGTTTTGGTGTTGAAGTCTCAGCTCATCCACTGCATGCTCGCGCACACGCCTTGGATCCGTGGAACGTGTCCAGGGTCAGTTTCATGTCCTGTGCGTGTGCGTGCGTGCGCGCGCGCTCCTTTAAGTGGAAGCCTGCTGCACATTTATCCACGTCCGAGAGGATAAACAGTGAAGGACAGATGTCTGTTGGCAGATTCCTGCAACAGAGAAGCTCCGTGACTGGTCCGTGTGACCCCCCCCCCCCCCTCCCGCAGCAGGAACAAAAAGACATCTGAGACATGTGGATGGGGAGGAAAGTTGAGAGCACTTGGTGAGGCCGCCACAGCGCTCCGGTTTCATAAGTTCTCTGTGAGCCGAGGCGCGCAGGTTTTTACGCATCGCATCCATTCCTGTCTCTGCCGAGGAAACAGGCAGCGGGTCCTTCTGTGGAGCAGATAACAAAGTTTACTCTTTTTTTTTTTTCTTTATCACGTATTTTCTTAGATTTTTATGTCCTATAAGAAAGAAACAAGTCAACGCGCATTCATGGAGGTTCAGAAACAGAGCTGCGTAAACTTGTGACACTGGGAGGCTTTTTTTTCTGCATTCCTTTAAATTCCACCTGATGCGTAAAAAAGGTGGAGAAACTCCGGACTTCTCTGGTTCCGGCGCAGCTCCGCGGACGCGCGCGCCTCCCTCTCTCTCTTCCTCTCCCTGGACTTTCAGAAACCGACCAGAACTCCGTCCTGCTTGGAGCTCCATCCGCGCCGTGTTGTTATTTACTCATTAGACTCCATTAGAGGCAAGACTGAACAGGTTAGTGGAGGTAAAGAAAGAGGGAGCCTCGCCTGAAAAACTGGCTCCTGTTCATCCAGCGATGGTTTGACGTGAGTCACCGGAGCGACACAAGTAGATTGGGGGTAAACATTTTTTCCTCTTCTGACTGTTTGACTGTCTGTCCTCCCACCTCCACATCCACCTCTCTCTCTGTTGGATTGTTTACGCCACAGCAAAACAAACTCTGGAAAGCTGCAGTTTATTTTCCTCCGCCTGGATGATCCTCCACAAATTCCCATCTTTCCTCCTGAAACACGTTTTTTTTTCACTAGAAGAAAGGAAATATTCCAGATTCCCAATAGTGATATGAGGATCTGCTCTAAGTTGAGCTTTTAAACTTGAGGACTGATTGTTTACCAACCAATCTTTTTCTTTTTTCTTTTTTTATCTAAGGGTGCTGAAACACCAAAGAGGGGAAAAGCGCATTCTGGACGCGCTGAAAGGCGCAGGGAGGCGGCGCCTCGGATCTTTTTTCGATGGCTCCTTGCAGCCTGCTTCTGCCTCAGATGAGACATTTCGCCGCGGACAGTAGCGAGCCGTGACGCCACGCCGTGAAAACATGACGCGTCGTAGCGCACGGAGAGCCGCAGGCGTCGGCGGCGGGTTTCCTGCTCCTTCCGATGCGCACCGGGAGCGGATTTCCCACGGGACAGCTGGTAAGCGCCGATCGGCTCCTCTGTAAGGTCCGGGGGACCGCAGCATGTAGCTGGCTGTGATGTGGCGGTTTGTGTGCGCAATGCTGAATGGAGATCCTGAAAAAAAACAACCACTGACCCGATTGTTTTGATGTTTGACTTCCTTTCACTTCAGTGGCTTTTTTCTCCCTGGACGCACCTGCCAGCTGCTGGTGACTCAGGATCACTATGACCTGCAGTCAGATGCAGGAGTTATAGTAAGGAGTTTTAAGCTGTGGGTGTGGGGCTTTAATGTGGAGAAATATAAATCAAATTGTTTGTAAGAAAGAGAAAGTAAAGCTAAAGGGCTTCCTGTCTGTGGTAAGTTGCAAATCCAAGAATCAAAGTGTTGCTAATCCACACACACAGGATCAGCAGCAGATTAGGCGTGTTAAAGGAATAGTACACCCAAAACATGATTAGCCTTCATTTTCTACTCACCTCCATGCTGAACAACACTCTGGAGTACTTTTTTGATATCTCAAATGCATCTGGAGATCTGGGAGGCTTCTTGCTGTCTGCTGACATTCAAATAATGGAGGTCCATGGCGCCCGAGACAGAAAGGTCCATAAAAGTCCACAAAAACGTGTCAATATTCCTCCATACTGCTCGTCCAATGTAATCCAAGTGTCCTGAGTGGGTAGCATCCAGAATTTACTCGAAACGAAGTCATTTAGAATGTTTTTAGAGCATAAACAGTAGTGTATAGGATTTCCTAATAGCGCCCCCATGCACGCTCACGATTCTACGGAAGCCGGCAGACCAAACCGGAAGAAAGTGCGCATTCAGCGTCTGGTCTGCCGATAATGCAAGCGTAGAAGAAGAAATGTGCTGTTTACCTGTGCAAAGAAAGAAACAACGAAAGAAAAATGTCTGAGGTCTTCAGTGTTGAGGAAGAGCATGAGTTCTTTGCCGAGCTGAATGCGCTGGTTTGGTCTGCCGGCTTCCGTAGAATCGTGAGCGCGCATGGGGGCGCTATTAGGAAATCCTATACACTACTGTTTAGGCTCTAAAAACATTCTAAATGACTTCGTTTCGAGTAAATTCTGGATGCTACCCACTCAGGACACTTGGATTACATTGGACGAGCAGTATGGAGGAATATTGACAAGTTTTTGTGGACTTTTGTGGACCTTTCTGTCTCGGGCGCCATAGACCTCCATTATTTGAATGTCAGCAGACAGCAAGAAGCCTCCCAGATCTCCAGATGCATTTGAGATATCAAAAAAGTACTCCAGAGTTTTGTTCAGCATGGGGGTGAGTAGAAAATGAAGGCTAATCATGTTTTGGGTGTACTATTCCTTTAAGAGGGCAGGGATGCTGCCTCAGGATGTTTGGATCACACTGTCATTATCCCCCCCCAGCCCCCCTCACTCAGCTTGGGGTACTTAATGTCCAGAAAGTGGTAGAATGAACTGCTTGCAGATGAAAGGGGAATCAGATGATGTCTCACTGAGTCACTACTTGGAGGTGAACTTTCATTCTTGTTCCGTGACTCAGTGACTTGCTGACTCGTTGAGTCATAGATGTTCACCAAGTCACTGAAAGGGTTTGGGATCTGAAAGCTTGTGGCCTTTGCTGTGAGGCCGAGTGGGTTTCAGATGCGTTTTCCATCTAATCCGCTTCGCAAACGCATCATTTAATGTGTTTAAATTGTTAGGTTTATGCTTTATACATCATGTGCATTGTTACTTTGTTAGCCAGATTAGAGAGAGTAGATGGCCTTCCTTCACATTGTGGATGTCACTGTGTGTACGGAGGTCATCTAATCAGGACAGCCTTCGTGTCTTTAAGAGTACACAGGATATGGGCACATCTTGGAGCCGGTCTGATAGAGGAGAGCTATCTGTAATCCTTGGGCATTGATGTCATGTCAGTTTCTGATACGGACAGCTAAGCATCCACCTGATGCAACACATAGACTCATGAGCTATAAGAAGCAGGAGATGACCTTGTTCGGGGCTCAATCTTTGCCGGACGCTCGCGGACGTGATTTTTGAGCCCACAGCTGTGCAAGCTCCAAGCATTTTCTCTGTCCTGTAATGACCTGATCTGGAATAAACTCTGTTACCTTTTTAATCCTGTTTTAGTCCTTTTTTATAGGGTTTTACCCAGTTTGAGTTAAGAGTAGTAAATAACTTGCTCCCAGGAAAAGAACCGTGAGGAAGCCCCCTGTGGCGCAACAGCCTTTTCTTTAGGGGACATAACTTCCTCATTTTAACAAAATGAAGGTTTAGGTGTGAAGTAAAGGGAAACATTTTTAAAGACAAATTAAAAGTGACTCTCAGGCCCCGTCCACACGAAGCCAAACCCTGGCCTAAACGCACAAATTAATCACCAAACCAGCCTCTCATCCACACGAAGCCGGCGTTTCGGGGGTCTGTAAACGATCTTTTTTTTATTCAGCCTTCAGAGTGGGAAGATTTCGAAACGCCGTTTTCGCGTCTCCATCTTTACGCTCTAACCGCATATTTTTTTCACACGCATGCGTCATAGCGTCGCCTCTAAACACGCATGCGCGACCAGTATCACAACAACAATGGCGCCGTTGCTGCTAATGCTACTCACCCTGCTGTCGGGCTTACAACAGAATCTTCTTCTTCTGGAATATCTCCAGGAAGAACAGAGCAATATCGAAGACATAGTTCAGCACCTGAATTTGACTGAACCACGAAAATGGACCCGCAGGGCAACCATGTATAAATATTAGTGCGCATGCCCAACATTTCGTCGCCTATTTTTGCTTTGGCACCACAGCGCCACTTACAGGCCTGGCATACATTTTGCAGCGTTTTCATGCATTCGTGTGGACGATCACATTTATTTTACGTCTCCGTCTTTACGACAAACGTTTTGGAAAATATCAGCGTTTCGTGTTCGTTTTGACTTCGTGTGGACGGGGCCTAATACTATGTGACTCTATGAAACAAATCAAATTAACTAACTTTAGCAGTTATTTATCAGTTAATAGAGGACCCCTGTGTGAAATTTGACCCAACACTACAAAAACTGATCTAAATAAGTACAAATATCTTAAGAAAACTGTATTTGGCATAATTTAGGTATATAAATACTATTTTTCCCTTAAAATAAGGTGAGTAGATAATAGGCACTTGAAATTAGATTATATAATTGTTTATTTTTTTTATTTTTAATATAAATCATCTTATTCTATTGGTAAATTGTTTATACTAACCTGAAAGAAAAACGACGATCTCAGAATTTGCCAGGGCAGAAATAATGCCTCAGTTCTGTAAGTCATTTTTTATTTAAATAAGTGTATTTTCTCTTGATTTAAACAAGGAATGACGATAACTTGTCAATGGAAAAAGATGATTTACCTTTAAAAAAGGAAAGACAAACATCTATAATCTGAAATCAAGCAATATCATATCGTATTCTCAGTACTAGGATGCTCATTCCTTTGGCAGATCATATTATTCACCTGCAAAAAATGCAAACATTTATTTGCAAAAACTAACCTATATTTTGATAAGTTTTTACAGTTTAAGTTATTTTAAGTCCATGAGGAGGGCAACCTGTGTACTTAAAAAAAAAAGCTTAAAACTTTCCTTTATCGTGACGCTTATAGCTTAGAGTAGCTCAGATTATCCTCTCTATAGTTATGCTGCTATAGGCTTTGTCTGCTGGAGGACATAGGGTCCACTTTTTCTCTATCTCTGCTTATTCTATCACTTTTCTCCAATCAGAAAGGAAGCTCTGGAGTTTATATCTGAGTTAGGGTTGTAAGGGGACACAGAGCTCTGTATTTTTATTTGAGCTGCAGCTTTGGTGAAATGTTCAAACCTTCATTATTATGTTTTGCTTTATGCAAGTCAGCCGTCTAATTTCATTAGGACATAGAAAGACATTTTTATTGCAATGGGATACTTTTGCAGGGTGGTGTTTGTGTGTAGAGAAGCTTTAGCATCCCCAGAGGTATGTCACACACCGCTTACCGAACGCCTGTGAAATGCATGCAGAACCTGTAATGAAACAATGTTGTTTTCCTTGAGCCTTCAAGCGGGTTCTCATGTTAAACAGGAGGGTTTGCTCTTGGCTCGGGGCATCTCGCACCGCCCCGTCACGCCGCAAGTGGCCTTTACTTCCTTTTAGTCAGAGGTCAGGAGGTCGGCGGCCCCGCTGAGGGTCAGGTACAGCAGACTGGCGTGTTCTTCTTACCACCCTCCTGCTGATGTGTGGTCTGGTTTGTTTTAACAGGCATGTGGCTTCGGTAGAATTAGCGGCGCTGTTATTTGCTGTTAAGGGTTTTAACTCTTTGTTGCTCAGCTGCTGATCAGAGTCGTAGAATGCTGGTTAGACGGTGGAGATAAGCTTCTATCCCAAAGGCTTCCTTATAAAAGTGATTAGTGGCTGTAAAACTGGTATTTTCTGGCATTTAGCTTGATGCTTTTATTTTATTCTCTTAAAGCAGGAGTTCTAAAACTAGGGGAGAGGATTAGGGCCAGTGGGAAAAAAAAAGTTAACACATTTTTAAATTTTATTTCAGTTTAGTATGAGAAAAAAGTCAGAAGTCTGAGTTTTTTTCTCAGAATTCTGACTTTAATCTCAGAATTCCGACTTTTTTCTCAGAATTCTGACTTTAATCTAAAAATTCTGACTAAATTCTGACAATAAAAAAAGTCAGAATTCTGAGAAAAAAGTCGGAATTCTGAGATTAAAGTCAGAATTCTGAGAAAAAAGTCGGAATTCTGAGATTAAAGTCAGAATTCTGAGATTAAAGTCAGAATTCTGACTTTTTTCCCGTCCTAAACTGAAATAAAATTTAAAAATCAGTTAACTTTTTTTTTTTCCCAGTGGCCCTAATCCTCTTCTGTATAAAACTTTTCAACTGGTGACCCCAAAAATAAAAATACAACAGAATGACCCCCCCCCAAAGTACATATAATAACTAAAAAAATTTTAAAATGACATTTGATTATTTCATTTATCATTTAAATGTATTTTTAAGTATTTCATG